GTTTATTTCAGCCACATTTCTGTGCTCAGCAAGATTTGCTGTTGTAAATGTCTGTGTGAATGTGTTGGACAGCAGAAATATCAGAAGCAGAATGCTTCTTCAGTTGAAAGTGTGCTTCTTCACCAGGTAGAGCATGTACCAACAGCAGCACTGTCTCACCAAGCATGTGGGTGCAGGTGATTGCTGGGAATGATTCAGTGCCATGTAGTTACACAGACAGGCAGGTGATGCATGAGCAAGTTTAGAGCAGAAGATTATCTCTTCCGGTGGCCTGAACCCTCACCTCTAATTTTTATGTGACTCCCTCTCCCACAAACACAATTTCCTCTGGTTTTTCCTGCTCCTGGTTTGTTTTGTGCACTTACTAAGAATGTCAGCCACCTGTGGACTTACGGTGCAGGGTATCTGTGGACCCCCGATGCTCTTGTATGCATATGGACAGTTCTATCACCTGCTCACAAGGCTGAAACATCACAGAATAGAATCACTAAATCATTTAGGTTGGAAAAGACCTTTAAGATTGAGTCCAACCGTAAAACTAACACTGACAAGTTCACCACTAAACTATGTCCTTAAGGGCCGCATCCAGGCGCCTTTTAAATACTTCCAGGGCTGGTGACTCAATCATGTGCTGAAGTGAGTGACCAACCATGTGCCGTGAACAACTAACTATTGGAATGGTATTTATTCTATAAGAGGCAAAATGATGCTGAAATCCGTACGGTATTTATGACTTGAGGCAACGAATCTACACAGCACAGCTCACTGGAGACTTCAGATCCAGGACAAGTTTGACTGTACCAGCATAATGCTGCATTTCCAATAAGACCCATTAACTCAGATAAGGCTCAATACAAATGCAGTCACCACACTTCCAGACCTGGCGTGGATGTCTCCATGCCTGTGGGATAAAGACACTCCTTATGTCAGACAAAACCAAGTATGCCAGGTTTCGGTGCGTGGTTGGAAACGCGATCATCAGTACATTACAGCCTCTAGGTGAGTGTCACCAGATCTCACTCCTGGAATCAACTAGCTGCTCCATTGATCCTCATTATCCCATAAAGTCCTTCCATATAGCTAAAGGGCTCTTCAGGTTTATTGTTTTACCCAAAACAATGAAAATTGGATGCCACAATATCCCTTGCAGATTCAAACAGCAGAACCTCGTTTTCGTCATGTAAGAATCAGACAGCAGATACTCACACAGCTTTCCATCACAATGTGAGGAACAAAGCGGGGGAGACAAGCTGCCCTTGTAGGTGAAATTCACAATAAGGCCTTCATTTGCTCTTTGTCAAAATCTTTACAGGTACTTAGATTGCTGAGATTATTCAGTGAGCTTGGAAAGAGTGGGGAAAATACAACAATCCTCAATGGTCTGCTTTGCAATTTAATGGCTTTCCTTTTTCTATGTGTGCAATTACTGAAAGAAACCTAACCCTTCCCCAAGCCTTCACCTTTGATCAGAGCAGGTATCAAATAATGGTTGGCTTAGGTACATTTTGTGCTTGTTTCTTATGCAAATGGAAACTACTATACACCAGCTGGTACTTCTGCCAAATTTGTTTCATGGATTTCATTTGGTTTTCTACCTTTCACCGCTTTTAGAAGGGATATCATGTACATGGAGATTGCTTTCCTGTGAGAAGATAGTGAGAGATTTATTTTCTTTCACAAATTATGGGACTAGCTCCATCTTGTAATTCCACTGAAACCTGTAGCATTACACCAATGATAACTTAATTACAGTATTCGCTAAATATCATCAGAACAAAGACAATTTGTCTTTCAAGTGCTGTGTTAATGCTATGGCGAGCTTGAGCACTTATGTAATTTTTAGCAAGGCATCTACACTATGCCAAATCAAGACTAGCCATATATCTTATGCTCCAAATCAGCCCTGTGTGGGCAGACCTGCGAGACCAAGTCCAACCCCAGGGCTGAATGTGATCCCTTGAGCTTGAAAAATCAGTTTGTAGAGGGTCATAAGGCCTTTCTCATGGCCAAAGTCACAAACTTTCTCCTGCAAGCCTCTCCTTCTTTCTGACCTATATATATGCTTGATAATAGGGTGAGTCATAATGTCTCACAAGACCCTGTGTTCTGGTTCCAGACCAAATACACACACACACAAAGACAAAAATAAGTGAATATACGTACATCATATATTCAGTGTATACACACAGTATATATTCAGAGTTGGTTTTAGGAAATCAAATCTGGGCTTCCATGCCTGCAGGATTTAGGGTTGAGGCTAAAACCAGAGATACCTAGAGTTAAACCTTCCTTATTTTAGGATTTCTATTGAGGTTAATCCCTAATTCAGTCACACCAAATCAGTTATGAGCTTTGGTTCTTGTTTAGTGGATTATTCTTTAATTTAATTAAAATAACAAACCCTGGCCGAAGGATTTTGTCTGTGTGTACACCTTTAACTAATCTCATTTAAATCAGAATGTGATGGCTTGCAGGACTTGGCTCACAGGAATAGTGAGAGTAACCTATTATGTGCTCTGTATTGCAAATTATGAAGCTTCGGGTCTAGGATCAGGCTTATTATTTGAAACTAAACACAGAAATTTATAGGCTTTTCAACCTTTCCTTAGGGCTTTTGATCAGTTTGCAAGAAGCAGAAGTCACCCTAATTACTTATAAACATTTTCATTGTAGATTCACCTGCATACCATCATCTCTGGAGATAGCTAGCATCCGTTACTACTAGTTCATGTTGTAGTCATAGCCATGCTTTGCTAATGCCATCTGGCTTGAGATACTCCTTGTAGTGAATGCTCTCTTGAAAGTACATCCATAAATCTCTCACCCACAGGAGAGCTGAAAACACACTGTCTAGCATTTCAGGTTAAGGTCAAGGCCACTGTGTTCTTCCACCCCATGCCCTCCTCCTTCAAAAACTCCAGACAACTGCTTTACCACTGCATAACCCCTACATACTTGAGTGAAGGCAGACCCACACCAAACCACTGCCATGGATGAGGCAGAATGAGTCTCTCCACAGAAGTAGACACCAAACCATCTCTGAGGAGCCCCACAGGACTGGGTCCCATAGGCAAGGTCAGTGAGATCCTCTGTGTTTTGTGACTCCAAACTGGTATCAAAGCATAAGTAGCTCAACACCACCTGAATTTGGGCACACATGCCCAAAGTTGAGCCTGTGCCAGTTTATGGGTCAAGTATTTACAACTCATGTTTTTTATGCAGGCATGTAAAATAGCAGCAGCACAACCAAGTCCTTAAAAAGTCCTATCACTAAAAGCTAACACGAGCATCATGTAGTAGGTTGCCAAAATATCTTACTAGCTGACCAAGACTGTCATACAGCAACCACATGACTGATGGTCATGTGAAGAGCAAATTTGTTTTAGTTTTATGTGCAGTGGTGAATTGTACACATTCTGTATTGCAATATTTAATGTATGTTACATAGTCTTGTATGCAGTTAGTATTGGGTACTATAGTTATACAGTATAATACTCAGGTTTATGGAATATCCTACATAAACTCAGATTACATGCCTGTTTACTTTTAGAAAAAATAAGTAAAAAACCCCAAAACAACCCCAAATGTGATCTGTTGAAATTACTTTTGTCCATTTGCATGGCACAAGAGGTTGACATCGTTAATAAGCCATTCAAGACAAGCATCTAATTCCTATGAATACCTTTTCACTGAATTCTAGAGAGCAGCTGTGGCTTCACCTCCGCAGAAATTCTACATTTTCCTAATTAACTTGTAAACCAAAGATGTTGTGTAAGTTATAAACCTTCGTCAGGTTTCTGTTCAACTACATTCAAGACCTAAAAAAAGCCACCATAGAAAGGCTTCTAAAAATCAAGTAGCAGCAGGACAGTCCCATCTAGGGGAAAAGAACTGCTTTTCTATAACTCTTCTTTTTTTTCCTGCCACACTGGACAATACTGGCGGGTTGAGATTTAACCCAGAGATGGGCTCCTTTTACAAGATTGCTTATATAAAGAGAAGATAACACCAGCTGGGTTCATTTGAAAGGGGACATATTGGGAAGAGCTGAGAGCGCAGCTATTGGAATAAGACCGGGATGAAAATCTGAAATACTTAGCCCCTTCTTGCCTCGTACGTATAATATTTAATTTCTTATATAGTGCATAGGATTATCGTTAGAAAGAATTGTCACTGAAATGTATTGTATGAGCTTTTTCTTAAATGCGTTTCTTTAAATAGAGGCTGAGTGAAAATGTTGAAACTGATTTTTGTTTTGTTGGAAATACTTAAATCAGGAAGACTTTTTTGTCTTTGCCTAGATAACATTTGTTACTTCTGACAGTCTGCTTAGTGATGTGTATGTAAGGACAGACACTGAAGAGTGTCTACAAAAGGAAGACGTGAGAGCTCACGTCCCAGTCCCACAGGCTGTACGTGCTTCTTTCTTCCTGTGGGAACAGCTTGTGGGTTTAAGGCCTGAAGTGGAAATGTAAATTACTGGTGTGTATGTTTTCCTAAACCCTCAGCATTTAGCAGTCAAGGAGAAAATGTATAATTTACCAAAACTGAGCTCATGGTCTTAAGGTTGTATACATCAGGATAGCCGTCACCAAAGAGAGCAGTGTCAGCATTTAATTTATAAGCACAAGATGTGTGTTATTGCATCATATTTCTTCTAGTAATTTCTATTCTCTCTTGGTCAGCTCCCATAGTTTCAGTTTCATTTGGTTATATTAACGCTTTGGGTTTCATCTCTTTACAAGAACAAATAAAAGCTAGAATAATCGAAAGCCACGACTAAACTGAAATAGTAAAACTGTCACAGCACTAATAATGGTCTTGGAAGCATTTATCCTGTAAGATGCAATTACGTTGGGCGACAGACTATCACTAATGTTATTTGTTTCTCTCTGCAAGAACATGTTTAAGAGTAGCTGCAGCTTCAGGTCTGCAGTCAATGCATTATTTTTATTTCCAGTTTTGGAAACAATTTCAGCTTTTATTCCCTGTGTCCTCAGATCATTGCAAGAAATGTTGACTCTTACTATTTATCTGCTGGTCATCTTGGCTCAAGCTCTTGCGGGGCCTTGCAGTCCAAATAAAGCAGGTAAAATAACTTAAGTCTCCTATGATCTTCTCTTATAATTAAGATGCCAAAGGGTTGGGTTTTGTTGTTTTTTTTTCTATGTAAAAGTGGAAATGTTTTTCTTCAGAAAGTTAAGCTGTTGGTTCTGGAGAGCTAATCCTTACATTTCTTTTATTGATCTGCTTTTAGCTAGCATAGTAAAGCATGTACCGTTAAAGTCCTAGCCCACAGAGAATTGCTTAACAGGATGCTTAACTCTGTGCAATAATTATAGTGCGATGAAGTTAATCAGAAGAAAAATTCAGGTATAAACTGGCAAAGAAACCAGCAATTAGAAATTATCTCCAATAGCACAGGCTAAATGCAGAAGATCTTTTATGCACAAGCTGGGCTTTAGTCCCACTGACTGCAATCAGATGGCTAGTGGTGAATGAATCTGCTGGGCTGAAGTGCTGAACCACACTGCTGTATTACATGAGAAAAAAACACATTGAAGTTAAGGCTTTAATTGCACACTGATTTCTGCCTAGAAACACAAATGATCTTGTGCAAGACCTGTAATATAGAATTTACTACAATTAACAAATGTGCTTTAGAAATGTGCTGGAATATGGCTCAATATAGAGTTTTTGCTTTGTATGTGCATGACTGATGTCAGACTACTGTCAGTAATTTCATGGTGTATCTGAACTATTTGGCCCTCTGGCCACTTATTTAGGTACCTTCATTTACACAAGCAGTTTCTCTGAACTGCAGGAATTTTCATAGCTGTGAAGTCACCAGTGTTGCAGATGCGCCCATCAACTCAAGCAGAGCCAGCCTGCGTGTGCTGAAGTTTGTTGACCTAAAGGAGCAAGTTGATAAGATCCCTAGTTGTCCTTCCCCGAGCATTCCCTAACAGACATGGAAAGGCTGCAAAATGAGGCTTTTATGATAAAAGTGAGACTTTGACGGGCTTTAAAAGAAATAATTGGTTAATTCCAGGCAGGGTGTCTTTTTTGTAACTGTAGTAATTGGAAGTCTTTCTCAGTTTTCAGGTCACTAATGGTTAGCCAGTATTTGCCCTTTTAATTCCCATCAGACATTCAAATTCACACTGCATGATTCTCTTTGAAAAACATCCAATTCTGCTATAAGTTGCAATGTTCAATATTCATGGTTCTATTAGTAGTCACCATGTTTGGAAATACATTGCACTGCTATCAGCCATCACTGTTAACAGTGCTAGGATTTCAGTTCATTTAATATTGCTAGTAACAGGGCTAGGCTTTTCAATGCATTTATTATTGCCATTAACAGGGCTAGGCTTTTTGGTTCCTTTTTGGATGTAGGCTTTTAACTTGAGGATTGTAAAACTCCATTTTGTGCTGGTGCTGCAATGCTAGTGCAAGGAGAGAAAGGGCAGAATATCTATCATGGCCTAGATCTAACACCACTACAGAAAGGTGCAGATCTACCTAGCAAACAACTTCACCAGTATTATTTTTACAGAGTTGGTATCATTGCAGAAGCCAGCTCTTCAGCATAAACTAATCTGTGCAACCATTTTTCATGTCAGACTCCTTAGCAGAGTCCTGTTCCTCAATCAGCTATTCCAGAAAGGTACAAAATTTACAGAAGTTCTGCATTGATTAGAAGGCAAAGCCCAAACTCATCCAAAAAGGACAGAATTTAACAATCCAAAGGTCAATTTTGTGTAACAAAAGTTACTCACATTAGGGGACCTTTCAGCACACACCCCTGCTCATGGATGCTTAATCCCAATGGAAAGCAGGTATGCAGACTCATCTATTTGAAAGAAAACCACTGCTGAATATCACTCTAGGCATATTTTCCTTTCAGATGTAATTCTGGTATACTGCTATCCTAAAACCATCATTACCAAAATTCCGGAGTGTCCTTACGGATGGGAGGTTAATCAGCTCGCACTTGGAGGCATTTGCTACAATGGAATCCACGATTCAGGGTATTACCAATTCACAATCCCAGACTTGTCACCTAAAAACAAATCATACTGTGGGACACAGTCAGAGGTAAGATTATCAAGATGCACATTTCTAAGCCGGACTCAGAAATCAGCTGGACTCACTTGAGAGTCCTGTTTGCTTCAGCTTCAAGTAGTATTGATGGAAGGAGGATGCAAACTGCAGTATCAGGGAGAAGGAAGAATCAAACACTTTTGCTTTGAATCTAAGGGCAAAATACCGGTAGGCTTTGTAGTAGTAGTTAGTGTGTTAGCAACCCAGTTAGACCTGTATTACACAGAACATACATACATACATATATTAAGGCATATGTATAGGCAGCATAGCATATAAAGAGCTACAAAACCATGTTTCCTTGGGGATGTCACCAGATAGAGTCTTCGTGTTTCAAAGTATGAAGCTGATGCCTTAAAGACCTAGTCCTGTCTCCATTTCTCTGTTGCACCATCCACAGTTCAAGAATCCTGTTTATCACTTCTACAACTCCATCATCTCCAATGACTCCTCAATAATTGTGAAGAGCCAGCCTGTGAATTACTCATTCACCTGCACATACAACGCCAACTACCTGGTCAACCAGGCTGCCTTTGACCAAAGGTATGTCCTCTTGTGTGAGTGCGCCTCACCCTGTCTTCAGGGTGACACCACACCTCACTCATACAGAAACCTTATGTCCCCAGGGTGGCCACCATCCATGTGAAGAATGGGAGCTCCGGCTCGTTTGAAAGTCAGTTGTCCCTCAACTTCTACTCTGTAAGTGCTCTTTGCCACACAGCTTTTCGCCTTCGTTTTCCGCAGACTTCAGTCTATGTGCTGGACAAAGAGGCTGCTGCTACTGACTTTTATGTGTCATGGAGCACATTACTAGCCTGGAACAGATAATTACAGGGGTCCTTGTTTCTGCTGATTTACAGGGATATAGTTAAACTGAACAGAGCAGACACATGCCAGCTGTTCTTTTAATCCCTCCGCATCAGGCAGATTTTTCTGCTGAAAGATACATTTCTAACATGCCAACAAGTTTTATAAGGAAGAGCAAGGCTTGTTTGTAGTCCCACTCGAAGAGCAGCATGCATCTGCAGGCACCGCTGCTATCACGTAGTCTCTATCAGCACAGCAAAACCCCATGCATTTCTCTTGCAGTTTGTTTCCTTGTCCCCTCTCACCTGACAGATATTTTGTGTTCCCCAGAGATCTTAAAGTCATGCTGGAATTTTGTTTCCAATAAAATTTTGTTCCTGCATATCAGGCCAATGTTTGGAAACATCCTTCTCCTCCCCATGATTCTGCTGTGCTGCTGGAGCAACCAGCTCCTGATCCTGGAATCATTTTTCCAACCAAAGCACAGCCAAAAGCACCAGAACAGCCTCTATTTTAGCACAGCTAGAAGTAGCACAACTGGTAACATACTGTGATAAATTTATAGTCCAGAAAGAGGGGCTGTTTACCACAGATAGATGGAAATCTCTCCCCTTTCGCCTACATTTTGGGCACCAATTGATCACTGAACATTTTGTCAGGGTTGCGTGCCACATAAAATCCCATGTGGTCTTGAATTCTGATATATGGCACACTGGTAGTACAATACCAGCCGGGAACCGGGAGGTACCACGCTGCTCCTGTCAACGCCTGACAGAATGGCTGCAAAACCAAATGACAAACAGTGAGCAATGGATCTCTGGTACTTTAATATTTTGACAGATGACTGTTTTGTTCTAATGGCCATGGGGCTCCCAGGAGTCAAGGAAGGCGTGACTGAACTCTACTGGTCCATTTTCCCACTGAGCACAAGTACAGAACAAGCTCAGAAAGCTGATATACTATTCCTTTGTTATTTTGTTCACATTTTCACTGGGGAGAAAAGGTTCATTTCAGTGATTTTTTTTTTTTTCCTTTCTGGCAAAATGGAAATAAAAGATTCATTTTGCCTTGCTATTCGTCTCTGCTGCTGCCCTACACTGCCCTCTGCCTCCAGTGGGCTATACTGCAGGTTCTTCAGGTGCCCATTTCCACATCCAGAAGCAGCACCCAAGCTACAGCGTAACCCAGTGGAAACACTTCCACCTCACCTCCCCTTTAATCTGTGACACACCATTAATAGCAAAGAGCTGTGATGCAGCATGAGGGGCTGGAGCCTGAGCAGAAATCAGACCTTCAAGACTGAAACCTCTTGTGAAGAGCAAGATAGGACCTTAAAACAGTGTAGTGGAATAGCTTGATAAAAGAAGCACTATACCAGGTTCAACTCATTTTAGAGCAAGGACTGCATGAGTTTTGTGACAGTATTTCTGCAAGTTCCCTCCTTTGAGAGAAATCTTTGGTTAAATGAGGATTTCTTCAGTGCATCCAATCTATCAGATGTTGCAGTGGGAATAATGTAGTGCCTCAGAGCACCTTGCTGTGTAGGCAGGAAAGGTATGTAAGAAAAATCAGTGCCAAGTAACTGAGCAAGCACAGCAGGGAACAATAGTCCAACAGCCCCAGAACTACATATTCCTGAACCCTGCTGTATAGATTTAACTAAGTAAACCAGTGCTATGAGTAAACGCATTACTCTTTATGTAGTTTTGGTACTAGCTTCATTGTGATCTTATGCAATAAAAAGCAGCAGGGTTAAGGTAAATACTTCAGTGTATCTATAACCAAACTTTTTCACCCAAGTAAAGCACGCTGCACTTCTTTGAGCAGTCTGGCTTTTCAGTGGATGAATGACTATAGTGGGCAAAGCTCTTTCTGGACACTCGTGTCCCCTCAGCTCCCACCATGCTGGCCACCACAAGTATATATCACAGAGTGGTGAACTTTTACATATGGTCAGCTATTTTCTGTTTACCTTCATTCCTTTTCCCTGATACATGCCCATCTCCCAACCCTATTCCTATTTCATACACTTATCTCCAGTCTTTCTCCCACCACTTCCCCCACCACCTCTGGTGTACCAGAAGCAGCAACAACCTCGCTTCCTACCCTTGGTTTGATATAACACATACCACAACCCAAATAGCATCAAATTCTGTCACTTATTATAAGCCAAACATTAACAAAAGGATTTTAAACACCAACTTAGGCTTGCATTGGTCCTACGACTAGATGTAGAGTTTGGAGCTTGCAGGTAGGGAGAACCCAGACTTCTGGGAACCATCTCTCCAGAGCTGTCTGAAGTTTCCTTATGCCTTTGCTTTGCGTGTTACTAGTAACGTATGATGCCTTTCCTTTGTCTTTCAAAGAATGCCAAGTTTTCAAGTATAAAAGAAGCCCCTTTCATCGTTGAAACATCAGAAATTGGTTCTGACATATTTTCTGGAGTGGAAGCTAAGGGATTAAGTGACAGGTGAGCAAGGGAAGGAGGAGTAATTTATAAACTGACAATCAGGACATTCCTTGCTAATCTGGGGTTTTTATCTCCCCAGGTTCAAAGTGGTTCTCAACAACTGCTGGGCAACTCCCTCCTCAGAGTATTTCTACCAGATCCATTGGCCTCTGATCACCAAGGGGTAGGTGCAAGTGGGTCCCATCCCTAAGGATAATGTGAAGCTGGGGGATGAGTGGCAAAAGAGAAGCTTGCTCACATCAGGAGAAACACATTAATTAGGAACCTCAGATGTCTCTCTGAAACCCCAGAGGCTCTGACACTGCTTCTCCATATACAACACAGGTGTGCCACAGACAGCTCCATACTGGTGCATGAGAATGGGAAAACGAGCCGAGCAACATTCCAGTTCAATGCTTTCCGCTTCCGTAACATCCCCAAGCTGTCCAAGGTCTGGCTGCACTGCGAGACACACATCTGTGACAGTGAGAAGTTCTCCTGCCCGGTGGTAAGAAACACAACAGGGCTAAATTTAGACAGAGGATGTCAAGACCTTCCTGAGGGTACATCAGGTGCAAGGCCAGCACCAAGGCTTCAGCAGATGGAGCCACCACAATGCGTGAAACTGAGTGGCCAGCTGTGCACCCCGACCCCTGTCATGCCATACGGGTCAACACCGGGCAACTTGTTTAAACACATTGAGAAATGCGATAGGCACTGAAAACCTCAGTTCTTGTCAACATCCCAGGCTACAGTCCTGTCTGACAAACAGCTGCAGTTGAACACAAGCCTGAAAAAGGGGAGAAAGTAGAACTTTTTCCGTTTTACCAAATATCTTGGTGCTGAAGGTACCCTGGGGGCAGCGGCTGAACCTGGCCCAAAGCCCTCTGCTACTCAAACAAAACCTTGTAATCCCCAGGGAAAGTCCTCTTTGCTGTCCTGCAGTAAGTTACTGCTTTGCAGCTGTGCTATTCTGCATGAAATATGTAAGCTGTCACTGGAGCGGGGACTGAGGTTGAAAAGCAGGTTCTTATGTGCTTAGGTGGGAATGAGGTGGGGATGCTATACAGGCGTGTTATTTAGCGTGGGCAGGTGAGCACTGGTGCAAGGGTTACTGAAGTGTATTTCTTTAAAGACTTCTCTCTTCCTCCTTCACTAAGTCAGAGCTTCGCTGCTCTTTTTCTCAAGCAATGAATGTGTCATTGCTATAAAGTGAAGCTGAATTTTGCTTAACCTGAAATGAAAACCTACAATACTCCTTAGCCGACATATTGTCGTTTCAGCAACAAGTATTTCTTGCTGGAGAAGAGAAAGCATCACTCCCCATGAAACCAACTTTTCTTTCAAAACATTTTCTCAGTCCAGGAGCCAAATTAAGATAGCAGTTTATTACCCACCATCAGTGCCAAGCAGGGAAACAGATTTGTGCAAAACTTGCAGGACTGACCAATATGCATCGTTGGAAATTCTAAGTTTCAAGGGCAAAACCCCAGAACCTCTGGGCTTAGATTTTTGTTTGTCTTTAAAGATTTCTTTCATTTTTCATCCAGCCACAGACCAGAGTTAAAAGAAAACACAAAACCAGTTCTCCATATCGGCTTTTCTGACAGTGCTGACAAGCGTCTACCACATCCTTTCAGACACAGAGTGGAATTCTCTCCTCATCCTCCAGCACAGGATAACTGCTTAATCAGGCTAACATCCCTTGAGTCCATTTCCAGCCCAAAAATGCAGCTGGTGGCCTGCTGCAATTAAGGCTGAACCAAGCTGGGGGTCTGTGCTTACAAGCAACTCATAACAAGAATTACCACATGCTGAGTTTGTAAAAAGAAAATGCCCACAGCTGGAGATCTGCAAAGGTCAGGGGACAGACAAGGACCTTTAATCTGTAGAGTACTGCCTCCAATACAGACCTTGTCAGCTGTGACAAGCATCATTAGTGCTGGACATGAGATGATTTGTATAGAAGGCTTTAGTGGTTCTTATTTCTACCCAATGGGCAACACTTATCAATAAACCACAACAGAAGCCTTCACAGAGGTCACTGGTTAAACAGATGGAGTTCAGCTCCCCACTTCCTTCTTAACAAGAGTTTTGTTGAAGGCAGGGTAGAAAGGGTAGTCCAGGAGGACCTGTGATTAGCAAGTGGGCACCCATCTGGACTTCTTCCTACCGTCTCACAATCGAGAGTCACTGTAATGGCTGTGGTGCACCAAAATCCTCAGAAAAGACTCTCCTCACATCTCTCCATCAGAAAAACACAATAATTACAGGGGAGGAAAAAAGAAATCTCTAGAAATATGCAGCAATATTGATACAGATTTCATTTCTTTGGTTGGGAACATGAGAATTGGGTTGGGAGTTTTTAATTATTTGCAGTAATTTTTGGTATACGTGGCTTTCTCTCTGATCTCTTGAGACATGCGACAAACGAAAGCAGCGCATGGAACAGACCGGAGGTGTTTTAATGGCGGAGATCACTGTACGCAGTAAGTGATTGGGTTTCTGGGGTGTTTCTCCCTTTGGGAAGCAATGTAGTTGGAAGCCACCTGTGGCTGCAGCATAGAGGCAAGCAGAGGAAGCGGAAGCCCTCTGACAGGGCATTTGCCCCTATGGGAGCAGGAGTCTTGAACAGAAGTTGGTCCCCTCCGGGTTCAGCAGAGCTCAAAGTGAGTAAAGGCACCCATTTGGCATTAATGATCAATGGCCAAACCACTTAAACACTAAGTTAGCAATGTAAACTCTACTCACCTGGATTTGACCTCAGCAACAGCCCAGACAAGCTCTGGTAGGTTGTGCATGAGTGGGAGAGAGGTCAGGCTTACGAGCAGCAGGAAAGGGATTTTTTACATGGTGAGCTGGTACTACAGCATGCCCATAGCTCTGGTAGGTTAACCTTCATGTCTATCCCTCCTGATACACAAATTGAACTGCCACTAGGTTTCCCATTATAAAACAAGGCCGGTTTCCTTTAACTGTTGCCTCCTGGAGGCACCAGGAATTTCTCCCCAAGCTGGTTTAATTCTGCAGAACCAGCACATCCTTTGAAACAGGTCCTTGGAACAAGGAATGCCTACATCACGTTCTCACTAGAGCCCTTTGTACTAGTTTATCAACTACATCCACACCGACCTGAAAACCAATCTAAAAATCACAAATACACATACAGCAGCATTATTGCAGTTTATTATGTTGCACCAATAAAACCTCTTCAATTTTAGAAGATAAAAGAACTGAGGATCCTTTTATAACTTCAGACAGTAAATCCAAGAGGATGAAATATCCAGCGTTTCAAAATCTGGGCAATGTTATCTGTTCTGCTTTTACAAAGCACACTGATGCACTTTGCCCTTTTTTAAACATGCCATCCCAAAGTTCTCTTTTCCCATTATTTTATACAGGCAAAGCCTTATCCAGATTTTACACGCTCTCGGGTAAGTAGCAAAGCATGACAATGAAATTATCAGTCCCAAATATGGATTTTGGGTGAATCTGTCAACATAAACCTCATAGCTCGATGAAAGAGCCGAACAATCTAGTAAATTTGACCAAAAGGGAAATATTTCAATAGCAAATTTAATTTATCAACATTACACACTTTGTTTTCCTCCTTTTGGCACATCTCTCACTCTGGACAATAAAATACCAATAGCTTCCACTACTGAACATTACTTTCTCTTATTTTCACACCCTCTTCCCCAAAAGGAGCAAACATGTTTTGCTGGGTTCACAGAGATGTCTGAAAGCATTTCTATTTGCAGAGGGTTTGAAAAGGCTTTTCAAAGCCTATTTTTTAAAACTCAGTATGGTGACAAAGCCACATTAGGGGCATTGATGGGAGCGGGAGGAGAATAGTGAAGGACAGCTGATAAGGAACTACTCACATTTAGTCTGTGTTTCTCTTGCAGATATCATCTTCCACCTACTCTTTGTGATTGGATTTTGTGCTGTTTTATTATAAAAGGCGGCCCAGCTGTGTTCAACTTTTCCCCACTCCAGTTTAGACCTGGACTTTTTTCCTAAAGATGTTTATTTTACAGAGGAAACATGAAAGTCACAAAAATTCCTTGTGCACCATTTTACCAGATAAATAAAACATTCCATGAGCTTTGTGTCTTACATACTGAAGAATCCCAGAGCAGATTTGCCTCTCCCCAGTTTCTGCAGGCATTTTAAACTAGTGAAAACCCAGGGGTTCTGTATTCTACCTTTGGCCCCTTTCAAAAAGTTGTGATGCCAACAACATAGTTGTTTCTATAAGGAACATAGAAACATGCAAAATCAGCATTTCTAACACCAAATTTACCTTCAGGTTTCCCCTTCCCCATCAGTCTCAGTGTGGTACCAAACTCTGCTCCAGGCCTGGTCTTGCAAGGTCCTAGCTTGATCTGTGAAGCCTTTGAACAAGATGAAAACTAACCCAACATGTCAGTCAGAAAAGGGTGCTTTTTATGCAGCAGTAGTTAGAAGGTCCTCAGAATTACTCTACCTGATATTTCTTTCCTGCTTCTCAGCATTGTCAGTATTGATTGGTTGGATTAAGTAGCATACAACACTGTTAGGAGTAGGATGTCTTGCTGACTGGACAGACTCGGTACATGCAGGATAGCTGCATGCTCTGGATGCAAATTAAGCACATCTGAACATCTGATGTTGGAAAACAAGCTAATGATCTTTACACTTGTTTGAAGACATAGCTGGTGTCAGATACAGCAAGGGTCGAGATGTTAGCTCTGCATCTGAGTAACAACAGCTCTTAAACAGCAAGAAGAAATCACTAGACATGGAAACCATGATTTCTAAAGAGCAGGAAATATCAGGACATAACACAATTTCCCAACAAAGGTGATGATAGGTTCCTTACTTCCAGTAATTACTAAATCAATATTGAATAAAACTCTCGTAAGTGTAAGAAACATTCCCAAGTCTTTTCCATGAAACCTCCAGGACTCCAAATGTGAAAGGGAAGAATGACTACAGCTGTTACTTCCTAATAATGAACACAGTGGGTATACGTATCTCTGTACATACTGCAGCATAAACACATTATAGAATTTTTGCTATTGCTTGTAGAGAGGAACCTTCCTGAATAATCCTATTAAGGATTTTAAGCTCTCTGCTCCTTCTGAAACCACATTGTTAAAAATGTAATGCACAGCTAGAACACGGATAGATTACAGCCACAGTTTTCGGACACACACAGACGCCCCTTTCCAAGGTCTCTGCTCCTCTAGGCGTAAACTCAGTCCATACCTATTTATAAGTAACTGAGGAAAGTAAAGCTGTCTAGAAGCTGAGATTACAGCAGACACCCCCACCCTGACAGCCTGCAGGAAAGCGCTGTCGCGGTGACATGCGTTTGGCCATTACGTACAACAGAGGGCACCCTCTTGACAGGATTGTGTGATCTAGGCGGACCACGGATCTCTCACTTCAAAGCGCTTAGTGGCACGTTTCTAAAGCGGAGCTGACCTGTCGAACGTCTTGTGCACCCCGGGATATTTGATCAGAGATAATGACCCCGCAGGTTTTTCTCCCCCATTTGCTGCTTTGCCTCCCTTTCCCCTTCCCTCCTCCCGCTAACACCCCAGGTTTCAACATCTGCCAGGTGGCTTTACCCCTTCGAATTCTTGTCCTTGCCAGCTGAGATTAACACACCAGCTTCTCCTCCAGCCTGTTATTTTGCCTTTCTTTTGCTAAATCACCACTCTCCTATCCCAGCTATGTTGTGCAGAAAGCCTTGAACTGGCTAGGTTGATCAATTTTCTTCCTGATGATGCAATAAGTGTTGCTTTGGAACAAACCCTACAGGATTGCAGCAGCTGTGAAAAGTGCCTGGGAATTCCCAGGCTGCCTCCCTGCTCGCCGTGGGATGGAGCCTCTGGGCATGTATATCTCCTGGATGTGTTAGTACGGTGCTGAGTGGGGCTCAGACAGCCAGTGAGCAGTGACTGCAGGATGGGCAAAGCCCTATCACCAACCCAAGTCTGGATAACTATCTCCCTACAGTCCAGAAATGGTTTATTGCTGAAAAACAAACGAAACACAACTGAAAAACAGCTCCCAGAGGTGGCTGTGGAAAGGTCTATCTGCCAAACAAGGCAGCAACACATGAACAGGTTTCAGCTCCACAAGTACTGTTACTTAAGAAAGCACAAGTTGTCCATCCTAAATAGTTTGCATAAAAAATATTCACCTTTATTTTTCCTAACTTGCTTATGGCTCATCACTATTTATTCTACTAAACGCTATTTACATTGCCAGTGTCGGAAAATACAGTGATTGCAAAAAATTTTAGCATAAGCTGAAGCTTGATAGACTTCATTTCAGATGCACTATACTGACAGATCTTTTCCAGCTGGCAGGGCATGAAGATGCTCGCCTTGATCTCTTTATCTGCAAGTCTAACTCAATGCTGGCCATGGAAGCATAGGGAAAGGAAGGTTAGTTATAGGGGACACGCATAATCTCTTTAGAACCCAACATTTGTTTTCCCATAGATTACAGTTTGGTTTTGTCCCAGTTCTTCCTCCCATTTGGATGAACCCTAATGAGGCATGAGTTTTTTACATGCTTTCATTCTTGCAGTTTGGCATTGCAATGCTGAGGCACAAGGCCACTGAGTTCTTGGCAAAAAGTAGGACAGAAATGAACCCACAGAGGTGCCAAGATGATAACAGCACAGGTTGCGGCACAATACTGCTAGTACAGTGACACACATTTGCACAATATTTTGTTCATTAGATATAGGTCACTTCTCACTTGCAAAGGGTAAACACCATTAACCTGGGTGGCCTTTGTTTGACAGTCACTGGAGATAAAAATAAGGATTAAGAAGGTCCAACAAAAATTGCCAATGAAAGAGTGAGTCAGATCCAAAACAAAATCTCAGAAGCACCAACCAGAGAGCAAGCTGGTACTTTCCATCCTTGACATTCTGTATGTCGTGTCCCCAAACAAGTAGTGCTACGGCATTGTGATTCCTTCCACTGCTGCCACTCCAGGTCAATAGTGAAAAAGAAGAACCAGGCTCTGGGACTGTCAAGTCAGAATTAATTATAGTCAAGCATTATGCCATATACCCCGTGCTGGGATTCCACAATTTCATATCAAAACTTGAGAATGAATCCTCAGTAGCTGTTATCAGAGGACACACAACTGATTCTGCTGCAGAGATGCAAGACTAAGTCTGACTTGATATGCCCACCTTGTGCATCTCCTGGTAGCTCAGCCCTGAAAGGAGCGAAGCCACACCAGGGGTGCAAGCCTTTCTACAGGGGGATCTCAACTCAGTAGCACAAGGAGGTAAACATTGCACATGCTGCCAGAATTGGCAATATATTACACAATGTAAACACAGGCAACATCTCAGATACAGACAGCATGTATAGAAACTCCCCATCTTAATTCTAATTTAAATACCAACTTCATCTTTTTATTCTGTAAATCCATGACATTTAGTTTAAATGTCCCAGTCAGGGACAAAGAAAAACCCTACTTATCTCAAAATAGTATCATAATAGCAGCTACTTGATGCATACAAAACACATCCTAGAAGTACATAGCCTGTGTTAGGAGTGAATCTCCTCACCCAGTTCTGAATAGCAAATCTTTCCAAGTTACCTCCATCACACGTTCAGAGGAAAAAACAGCTATTGATTGATTGGATCCCCCAGCCCTTTCATGTAGCATATCACTGTAGCCCTGCAAACGTCAAGTCCAGTGGCTTCAGAGAAATAAATAGCAGTTCTTGCAGCCAGGCACTCAAGGAGGAGACTAGTGTCCTGAGCTCTGTCAGAAGATGCATTGCACACTAAAACAGAGATCACCCTGTTTTCCAATACACTCTTCTTCATTTTGTTGTTACAAAGAAAACCTAGTACCCCCCTAACATATTAGCCTGCTCTTTAAAAGTAATTACATTGGACATGTTCCCATTCCAAATTCTAAAGGGAGATGCTTAAATTCCGCTATTCTGCAAACAGCTGCTCTGTAGTGCAACCCATCTCCAGCCTTCCCAGACTGCTTCCCACATTGAACAGGCTGTACCTCCTCTACTGCTAAATTTTCTTCACATGTGGTTTCATCCACATTAACACCCTCTTCCCACAGACTGGATCTCTCTGGACATTCAGGCACTGTGACAGAAAGCATCACTAGAAGGGATCCCTCCCTGTTTCAGGACAGTCTGTTTGTCTGCTTACACTCAGCTGCTCTAACTGGAAAATAGCACCAGCTTTTTTCTTCTGAAAGCACCACAGCAACATCCATCAATATGTCCAAGACACAGACATTCATGATGTGTTATCATACTGACCTTATTTAAAAAAGGCAATTAAGCCACGATAGATAACAGACTTGTCAGTAACACGGTCCTGAAATACGTTTTGAGAAGGTCTTGCATGTTTAAACTGTATTCGGTCTTTCCATAAGCACATTCAGCAGAGTCCTAATGATGCAGTACTGCATGATGGGAAGTGAGGCAAATAGTTCCTGTTCCTCAACGAGCACTAAATCAGAGCTCCGTCAGTAAAGCAGAGGTCTTATCACCACGAAATGTTTGCACAGCACTATAAATTTACATGGTGATTAATAAACCCTGATAAGAGCATGCTGAGCACTTCTCACTGTCTTCATATGCAGTGCTTCTGTGCTAGCACCTTTTAGTGAATACCTCGAAGTACTCTAAAAACAATAACTAGTTAATCTGGAAGATTTAGTCTTCCCTTTACAAAACTAACATACAAACTAAGAAAAACTGAGGCAGAAAGGATGATATGAGCAGGGGGGCACATCAGACTGGTACTTCAGTGGAGAGGAATGTTCCTGTAACAACAGAAATAGTCAAAGCAAAATATGTAGCCTCATCTGATACTTCTGAGAATGAATTGTAAATTGAGAAAACTTGCATTTATTTTACCTGTATTGAAAAGAAAAATTCCATATGCACAGAAAATCAAGACAGCAAATTTAAGGACTCTAATACACAATTTATTATGTACCCACTGACCCACAGTAACAAACCACAAGCACCCACAGCAAATGTTAAAACTCAAAGGTTAATCACCAGGAAAGAAGTTTACACCAAGGGGTTTTGTATCCCACCTGTGATATGTGTGCCACCATGCCTCAGTGGGTGGCAATCCTTACCATCTGATGTACCCAGACTTCCACACCCAGCTCACAACCAGCCAGACTTGGGCTGTTTACCTGGGTGAAGGCCAATAAAGCAGTTTCAGGTTCTCTCTGGGTATATCACCTATCTTGAAAGTAATCACAGCACTCAGGAATTTCACAGATATAATAGCTATTTCTTCAGTGTGATTGATCCCACTGCAGATGGGTGGGCTGCTAGCCACCATAGATGCATCACCAGTGGTTTCTACCTTTAGCAAACAAAAAGAATACAACTATTTTATTGCATATCTAGATGTGGATGCAGAGTGCAGATAAACCTGAACTTCATTCCTGCAGTGACTGGTACCAAAATGTAAAGAAAAGTGGGGGGAATAACCCCCAAAATGTTTTGAATTTACTGTATCTATAATCCTTCAATGGACTAAACTGAAACTTTATTCAGGCTTTTATCCTAAGAGAGATCTTCAGCCACTTCACAACTTTCTTTGGTAGCTGAGGAAACAAGTTTCCTCCTCACACCCATTAATAGATTAAGAAAATGCCTTAGCTTCTAATCTAGTTATCCTAGCAGAGGTCCCTCTCCAAGGCCAGCAGATGAGCCCCATCAAAAAAGCTTGCAATTCCATGACTGTTTGCTCAATAGGCTTCTCATTGACTTTTAATTTCAAGCATGTTAGAGCAGCAGTTTGGTTAGCAGCACGTTTGTACAGTGTCAGCCAAAAAACCCAGCCAACATTGATGACAAGAGCTCACTTATCTTCCTTTTCTCTGCCACCAACTGCACCAGTCCCTCCAAACAATCTGCATATTTTCCCTGTTTGCTCACCATGTTGTCCGAGACCCAAATATGCCTACTGGGGCATATACAACCAGGTCACATTTGTTTATCATCTGGTGCCAAGCGACACAGCACATAGTGAATAGTTTCAGATTCCATTAGTTTCCTCCAGGAGGCTGGATTTCACGGCAAGGGAGGGAACAATTTGTTCCCTATTCCAGGCCTTTTCATGAAGGGCCATAGTCTGATCATGCTTGGGTCCTCCTGCCGCACGTCTCTGCAGAATCTACATACACGGCTAATTTCTTAGCCATTTCTCATACTAGTTCAAAGGGAATTACTTTGCTGAGGCAAGTAATAATTTTGAAATAATAATAATTTTGAAATAATTTCCCATCTGGCACAACTTA